GAGTCGGGATGTCTGGTGCATCCGGGTCTCCCTCAGGGGCAATCAGCGTGGACACGAGATCAAACAGGGAACAGTGCTGTCACCAGTAGCAGGCGGGGCAGGGGAGGCACTAGAGGTGAGATTGAACAGGGAGAGTCCGTCTGCCCAATCACACTGTAGGAATAGCTGGAGGTCATCAACCCAGACCTCAAAGTCAACAGCACGACCCTCAGTATCAAAGGTAAGAACAGTGGGGGTAGCCATAACTGCAGTGGCCTAACAGGGATTGATCTCACCAGTCCGAGTAAGTAGGGCCGGGGCGCGCCGGTAGGAACAGTAGTGGCTCGACGGCAGGGCGGCTCGGCGGTTCGGCTGCTGGGCGGCTCGACGGCTCGCCTGCTGGGCGGCTCGGCGGCTCGGCTGCTAGGCGGCTGGGCTGTCGGGCGGCTCGGCTGTCGGGCGGCTCGGTTGTCGGGCGGCTCGGCGGCTCGGCTGTTGGGCGGCTCGGCTGCCGGGCGGCTCGGCGGGTCGGTTGCTGGGCGGCTTGGCGGATGGGCGGCTCGGTGGCTCTACTGTTGAGCGGCTCAGTTGCTGGGCCGCTCGGTAGAGGCGGCGTTGGGGCCGCTAGGGGCGGCGACGGGGCCGCTGAGGGAGGGGAGCGGCGACGGGGCCGGGTAGGGAGGGGAGCAGCGACGAGGCCGCTAGGGGCGGCTACGGGGTCGCGTAGAGGCGGCGACGGGGCCGTTAGGGGCGGCGACAGGGCCGTGTAGGGGCGGCGACGAGGCCGCTAGGGGCGGCGACGGGACCGCGTAGGGTAAGAGGCGGCGACGGGGCCGTTAGGGGCGGCGACAGTGCCGCGTAGGGGCGGCAACGGGGCCACGTAGGGGCGGCGACGGGGCCGCGTAGGGTGAGAGGCGGCGACGGGGCTGCTAGGGGCGGCGACGGGGCCGCTAGGGGCGGCGACGGGGTCGCGTAGGTGCGGCGATGGGGCCGCTAGGGGCGGCGTCGGGGCCGCGTAGGGGCGGCGACGGGGCCGCTTAGGGTGAGAGGCGGCGACGGGGCCGCTAGGGGCGGCGACGGGGCCGCGTAGGGGCGGCGACGAGGCCGCTAGGGGCCACTAGGGGCCTGGAAGGGCGGCGAACAAGGCGCGCCTCGGGCAGGAGCGACTGACGCTCCGGTCAGAAAAAAAAAATCAGTGGTGGGCCCAAGGAAGCGTTCCCACTAGGGAACCTGCTCTATACCATGTGAAGAATGGGGAATGAATGAACTAGCACAAGGTTGGGTACAAGTAGGAAACCCTAGGAAACTGTACCCCATAGTGTCTACCCCACTATAGCCTAGACAAGCTGTATTAAATGAGTTTGACAAAAAACACAATTATATATAAGAATGATGATACATCGACTACGACCAAGTTTAATTTTAGAAAACGTGTCAAAAAGCAAATAATATAATAAAATTTTGCACAAAAAGCATTGGCAAGATATTGGCAATGTGTACACTAGCATTGGCAAGATATTTGTTCCACGAATATCTCAATATCCACCGAATTATAATACCAAGTGGGTTGACAAAAAATTGTAACATTAGCAATTTAAGTTTAATAGCACTGTTTGTTACAACTTTATGAAATATGAAAAGCGCGATGAACAGTTTGCTACCACAAAACCATCCACCTGGGCTTGCGGAGTTGACTTCAAGTGCCCAGAAACACGCGCACCACTTCGAAAAACACGCAACACCCTAACAACACTCCCACGAATCATGCTAGCAACATTCTCGCATGATTCCCAACCCCTGAAAGACGAGGAAGATGCAAACAAGATTCGCACATGTCACAATCCCCTTCCCCCTGTTTTGCGATGTTGTATCTGGCCTTTTTTCCCCACGTCAGAATTCCTCCCTCCTCACCCTCTCCCCCTTTTCCCCCTCTAATACGGAGCGCCGCTGTCACTCTCTCTGCTAGGAAGAGCCTCGTTAAGACTGGCGGCTTGTTCAAACCGGCAGCTCGTTGCGGCCTTCTGCCTCGCCACCGCCACACACCAGGTACGCTAGATTACTGTGCGTGGTCCGACCCCATGTCGTCTGCTTCGCCTCTTTGCCTGGATCCGTTTCCTGCCTCATTCTTCCCTCGTCACCTACCTCTCTTCCCATGTGTGTGTTCGCTCTTTTCGTTCTAGCCTTGGCTTAGACCAGCGCTACCTCCTAGCGTTTCAATTTTTATCTCGTGCCTTTTCAGTTTTGCTCTTCTTCTTGTTCCTTTCTCTGACAATGTTGATTGGAACGGCACCCAAATTAATTGAATTAAGGAAATGATTATCCTGTTCGTCTTACTTGATTGCCTACTGAGGAGTCATTTTTTGCGCCCCGCATCTCCTGCTTCTTTTCAACCGCCCCAACCTGCTGAATTCCTTCCTGCTGCAGATTGCACTCTCTGTTCGTCACTCTTTAAGTTGCCTCTCTTCACTCATCTCACGAGGTACGCACCTTTCTTCAAGAGATTAATCTCTCCCGTGTCCGTCCTTTCCATGCAACTGCTTCAGTGTTGTGCAAAACTCATTCCGTCCTTTGTCTTCCACTATCCTGCTGTACTCCCGTCCGCAGCCCTTAATCTTTGCCCTTCCATGCGGACTCGCGCCGCCTCTCAGCATATGAGCCTTAACAGATCACCTCTTCATGCCGCCTCTCCTCCTTGACAGCCCTGCTGCCCCCTTTGTCCACCTCACTGTTGCTCTTCGCCTGCTCCCTGGCCTTTAAGTTTGACCATCATCCGTTCCTTTATGCGATCCTTCTTCACTCGCCTCTAGTATGATCTTCATGTGCTTGAATCCCGTCCCCATATCCCCCGTCTGTCCTTATCCAAAACTTAATCGCATCCAGACAGAACTGTCGTTGTTGCCCTGCCACTTATTCCCTCCCTCCTGCCGCTTACGCTCTCAAACCTATGCTTTTTGAGGCGCCTCAAAAGATTTTTGAGGCGATTTTTGAGGCGCCTCAAAAATCCCTCCTGCCGCTTACGTTCTCAAACCTATGCTTTTGCCACTCTCCCCGCTGATGCTGCCGCTTGCCCCCTTGTTCCCTTGCTGTTTCCGCTTATCCCTGCCACCACTCCCTTCCTTCTTTCCACTGCTCCTGCTGCCGCCCTCAATCTGGCACTCCTTGCAGTGGGCTCACCCCATTAATCATGGCTCGGATGACTGCAGTGACCGTGCTGCTGCTAGTGCTTTTGGTCGCCCTCCTTTTCGCCGCTGCCATCACACTTGTCACCATCATCATGCCATTTCACAGGGATGCCTCACATGCCACCACCGCTGAGGGCGTGAGTTGGCTGGCATGGCAAAGGGGTGCTTGTTGTGCTGTCCCAATGGAGGACGAGTCATCACTGGCATGACAACAGCAGTGGTGTCGGATGCAGAGTGTTTGCCGTTTGAGATGCTGAACAGTAGACCACTTCAATGTTAGCCGCACGCTTATGTTTCTTGCACTTTTGAAAGTGCCTTGCCTCCTGTTGCCTTCTGCAGTTGGCACATGACATCGATCCACTGCGAGCCAGCCAACAGTTCTTGCTCCCATCTCCTTCTGTCTCTCCGGTAAAACACAGACATTGCCCCGAGCATACACTTGAATTGTGTTTGTTGAATTAGTACGACTTTCTGTTATGATCTCTGCAGTTGTATTGGCACCTGATGTATCCACAAAAATGCATGCATTTTTGTGAGCCACGCAAGGGTTGTCGACCACCTAAAAATCATCGTGTGTGTGCGCGTGCGTGCGTGTGTGTGTGCGTGCGTGCGTATGCGTTTCCATGGGCATGCGTGGGCCTCTGTATGTGTGTTTCTTTGTGTATGCGGCCTGTGTGTGCGTCGGCCTGTGTGTGCGTTGGCCTGTATGTGCGTCGGCCTGTATGTGCGTATGTATGTGTACGTGTGCATTTTTATGCGTATGCATGTGTGCGTGTGCGAGTCTTCTGTATATGCATGCATGTGTTGTTCCCACACCAGGCCAATGCCACTGCCACTGTCGCATATGGGCCCCTCGGCCATGTGTATGCAGTGTCCCACACTCTCAACGTCACATCGTATGCCCTTCACACTCTGGTGCGTGTCTCTTTAGCTAGTCGCACCTTGTTCGACAAACTATTCTATCCGGATTCAGTGTTCTGTACAGTTTGAAACTCAATGCCCGTCTTCTTATCACTGAGGTGTCACTTACCATGCTCTCATCCTCATATATCTGCAGCTATTGGCGTTCTTGCTGTATTCTGCCATCACCACTCTCGGAACGCTGCTGTGGTGGATGGACTTGACCCACACGCAAGTCAAAGCATGGGTTCAACAGCAAGGCTTGGCTGTGACGGCTGGACTGATGAAGCTGAAGAGTGCAAGCAAGTGCCTCGTGGTATGCCATGTGCTGTGCCTTGTAACGCAAAAGCTTTGAATCTCTCTTGGCCACTGTTGTGCCCTCGCTCCTGTTTCTCCGTGCCAGCGGCACAAACCTTTCCCCATGCTCATGCTCCTCTCTCCTGTGCTCCCTTCGCCACCCGTCCTGCCTTGTCTTCCTCGCCTTGTCATCACCGTGTTGCAGAGACGTGGAATCGTTGCGCTGCTGTATAGCCCCATGTGAGCATGCCCCACCTAGCTATCAATTTAGCACACTTAATGTACCAGCATCCCTTTAACTTATCTAAGAAAATGCTTTTGGATCTCAATTTCGAAAAACGGTCTTAGTAGCGTGCATCGTGCACTGTAAACCTCTTCTGTGCCGGTGCTGACTTGTTTCCATTTGTACTACGTTTGCAACAGTGCACATATGTCCAAACCCAACTCCTATACTGTTACAACTCATGTGCTTCTTTACTTTCAGGTGTGTGTCTTATCTACTACAGTTTCTCATGGCTCCCCCCTTGTGCCAATATTTTCTGTGTATGCTGCCATGCGCACCCATGTGCTACCATGTGTAGATTGTGTGTTTGTTGGGGGGTGCAGAGAGCAAGTGAGCTTGTTGGAGTAGTCATGGCGAGAATGGCTGGAACCCACGAGCTGAGAGGGGCGATGGAGATGACAATGAAGGCACTTGGCGTGCAGCTGGAAGAGAGAATGAGGGAGTTCGAGAAGGAAGCCCAGTGGAGGATAGAAGCAGACTTAAAAGTGGCTGCAGTTCGTATTGCTCTCATTAGTGCTAAGTGCATGAGCACTACATTGCCACCTATGAAACAAGCTTCTCCAATATCAGGAGTTCAATACTCAGCTACTCCTTATTATATGCAATAGCGTCCAGAGCTTATTTACTCCGTGTTGTGCTTCTGTTGTACACATCCAATCCTGATTTCAATGCCTTCCTTCACATCCAATTCCCCCTTCAATTTGTATCATATCCCATAGCTCCATCGCCATCCCGATATCTGATTCCCTTCTCCCTCCTTTATCTACATCTTACTACTCCAATGTTGTACCCTCCCCATCTAAAAAAAGGTTTGTCCAAGGGAGCCATTGCTGGCATTGCTGTTGCAAGCGCTGTGGCTGTCCTCGTGCTGCTGCCATGGAGCTGGCTCCTTTACAAGCGATGCTGCACCAAAGGGGCAGCAGAAGGAGGCGATACCAGCACCAATGTGGGTGGCAAGGATGTGGCAGAAGGAAGTGCACTCCAAGGTAAGATGTTTTCAATCTACGCTGCCCAAAAAAATCTGTTATCGCCAGTATCCTTCTTCTGTCCCCATCTACCTTCAGTTCCTCATCTTCATCTTATCTCCTCCTTCACAACCCTTCAGAACCTAATTATCCGAAATCAGAATCCACAGGAAAGGAGAGGGACCTTGAAGCAGCAGCTGCAGCTGCTGCTGCAGTAGCAGTTGTAGCAGCAAGAGAAGCAGCACGTAAGAAGCAGAGAGACGTGGTGGTGGAGATGGAGGCAGTGAAACCGCATGTGTGCCAGAAGTTCACTGTGGAAGAGCTCGCAAACGCATCGGGTGGCTGGGCAGAGGGGAACAGGATTGGCAGCGGCAGCTTAGGAGATGTGTACCAGGGCGTGTCAGTGCATTACCCCAATGAGATTTGGGCTATGAAGCGATCTAGGGTCCTCTCCAGTGACTTCCTTACTGAGGTACAACACAGTGCTGATGATCCTTCTGGCCTCACACTATGAATTACGCAATGTCATTTTTGGACAATCTTTGTATGCCGATGCACACACAGACAGGGATAGGCAGACACACACGCACACAGACACACACACACACACACACACACACACACACACACACCGACCAATACACACACAGACACACACACAAACACACATGCACACGCGCGCGCGAGCGTGCGTACACACACAAACACACAACACACACACACACACACGCACACACACATGCACACGCACATACACTTTCTCAGACTTGACTCACGGTTTTCTTCTTGCCCTCTCCCTTTTTGTTTTTGCACTCTCATCTTGCAGGTGAAGACTTTGGCTGGAAAGCACTTGGATTATGCTGTTGTTTTTAATTTGGATTCCCACTACGATTCCGTTTGCCACTCATTCAGATACCGTTAGTGTTCTAATCTCTAAATGTACACACGCATGCATACACTCACAATGTACACACTCTCTCCACTTGTCCTCTCTCTGTTCGTTTTTCCTCTCTCATCTCACAGGATAAGGAGATGGCCAGCAAGCACCACCCCAGCATGGTGCACCTGTTGGGCTTTTGTGTGAACTACGATTCCAGCACGGGCCAGATTGAGCAGGTGCTCGTGTATGAGTTTATGGCCAGATCAGCCTGAAGCAATGGGTGAGGCACAGCTGCTTGGTACAGACTTACTGCCTGAATATTGTATGCATTGACTGCACGACCATTGCTCAATCCTCCACTCATTAGCATGAAGTGCAATGGACAATCAGCCGTATGTCTACATGCATGTGTTCCCTTTCAACCATACAGATCGCCCCATTCGTGGAGTCAGATGCCGTGGCAATGTTCAAGGACCCCTACTTGGACGCACCAGGTGACTTGGTGCTGCGCTGGGTTCGCCTTGCCCTCTCCTGCACCGCCATGCCTGCAGCCGCCCGCCCCTCCATGAATCAAGTGCTGGGAGAGCTGGTGAAGTTGAAGCAGGAGGCGTGTGGAGCACATGAGAGCCATGTGGGTGATGTGACATCTCGCGTCGACATAGAAATTGGGAGTTCCATTGGCTCCTCTAGCTTCACTGCTGAAATGGCCCGTGCAGAGCACGGGGTCATGCCAAGCAGCTCTTCCACATAATCAAGTTTGTTTTCACGTGCACCTTACTGGTTAACATAGAGCTTTTGGTACCAATAATTTGTGCCACTGGTATGAGGCAATATGGCTTGTTTGAAAGACGTTCAGTAAGGGATACTGGTAGCATCTTTGGTGATCAGGTAGATGGAACAATAAAATTGGGTTAATCACACCAAAAGCAACGACTAAAGCTTTGGCTTGTCTATGGGTACATATTTCTTGCTTATCACATTTTGTAAATGTCTCACCTGTTGCATGCATGATATATGCTACATTGTAGAATAGCTTCAGTCATGATCAATATGGGATTTCAGGATGGGAATTATGAGCCTTTTTTGTGGCAGCAACAAACATCGGGCTCGTAAAGCACTAAACTCTCAACTTACCAAAAACGGCTGCGCAAGATGATGATATGATATACCGTAGCCCTCTGGTAGTGGGCTTGGTGGCGCTACCAGAATCCGAGCCCCCTGCACGCGAGCTGGCTCCAGCTGTGCCACTCACCTCCTTTCCAACCTCCACCACTCAATCGTCGATCACGGCCAGTTACCACATCATGACCTGGCAATGCTGGCAAGACACATCATGAATTCGACACTTACGTGTAGTCAAACATGTACCGGTAACTTGTGATTTCCTGTACGCTAAAATCACGGCATTAAATTATGTACATAGGCTGAATTATCATCTTAAATATTACAGTAAACTCTGAAATTTCAAAGTCTTTTGGGTGGGGAAAGCTGAACTCCTAGCTTAATCGATGATCAGCCAAACCTGTGAGCAATCTAGGGGCCTGATCCGGACAATATCCACTTCTGTTCAGTGCCTTGTCATCTGCTACACATGGGCAAAAGGGGTTTAATTTCTTCATAACCCTTTCATAGCAATCACATGTCAGATGCGGTAGGGGAAGAGCCTTCTGTTGGGAATGAAAACTGGCAACAAAAACGTGAGTACCGTATAAGGGGGAGTGAGAGAGACTGGGGAGAATAAATCATAATCCAGTGGCGATAAGGCCCAAGGTCCTTACAAATAAAAAATAACTTGGGTTGGGTGTACATTAGAGAAAATCTTGGGTGAAAAAAAAAATGACTTGCACCGACAACAGATACTCCATGAAGCCCATTGCTGACTCATCGACCCACTAACCGACCCATCGCTGACTTATCGACCCATGGGCTGACTGACCACAATCCGATCACTGCCACCACTGCACTCTGTTATATATATAAATATACCTGCAAATTCTGTTGCTTGGTGTGACTGGGTAAAAACCGAAAATGGGGTAAACCCAATTCTAGATGTAGAACACAGGACCAACTTTAGTGTGCTGGTTGAACATTGTGAAGGACAGCCAACTGTACAGAGTTGGACACACACTTGTGGTGGGTGGTGTCTAGCTTCCCACAGTTGGCTGCAGTCCAACTCACCCCACTAGGCCAGTGCGGAGATAACTACTACAATGGGAGCTAGACTACGAGCTAGGCACGGGTGATCGTGTGGTCTCTGCGTTCGTTGGTTCTTAATCGTTTTCTTAGTGCTCACACTGCTTGCTAGTTCACGGAGCAATTTGGCAAGAGTTTCACTAGAGAAAGTTGACAACAATGGTACAATCAAGTTGGCATGGCAAGACTACATCAGAGCTAGCATTCAGGTCGGTCGACTGCCAGCACAGCATGGTCGACCGCGTTCCAGCACGACTTGGTCGACCACGCTCCAGCAGTGCAAAGTCGACAGCGTGCCAACGCTGCAGGTTGACGGCGTGCCAGCGTTGCTCCCGTAGAACAGCAGCGCACCTACTTCGCAGGTGCTCATTGATGATTGGAGGGCTAAGCCTCATCACCTGAATAGTGCACGCACCAAGTCATCTTCTTGCTGACGGCTCCACCTGATCCGCCTCGTCGACCTCGGGATACTACCACCGAGGTCGGACTCGCCAACTTCGCCTGGGCGACCGTCGCACTCCTTCGCAGAACCTCGTCACCCAGATATCCTGGTCGACCGGGCAACCATGTCGACCAGCTGCTCCTGTATGTGCTCGTCGACCTCCCAAGTCGACGACCACACCAAGTCGACCACTCCTCTGGTCGACCAGCTCCAGGTCGACGTCACTCCTGGTCTACCAGCTCCACATCGACCAGTGCAGTTGTCAACCGACCACCCAAGTCGGCTACCCAAAGTCGGCGTCACCAAGTCGACGCCCCTTCTACGTCGGCGCCGACTTCCAGACTAACCTCTTGAAGTCGGCGACGTCCCAAGTCGGTGACCTTACAAGTCGGTGACCTTACAAGTCGATGACCTTGCAAGTCGGTGACGTGGCAAGTCGGTGCCGACTTCCAGGTCGACGTGCCACATCGCCGACCACCAGTTGAAGTCGGCCGCCAGCTTCCCAAGTCGGCGGCATTGCAGTGGCCCCGTGCAAGTCGACCAGCCCCGTCGACCAGCTCGCCCAAGTCGGCGTCGCCCACTGCTGCAAGTCGGCTGTACCTTCCGTACACCCCACCACGAAGTCGGCTCCGCCCAAGCGTGGACGAGGCCAACACACAACTCCCGTTGACACTCCCCTACCGCGTTCACGCTTGGCCCCCCCCCCCCCCAAGTCCACTCGGCAGTACTCCTCGAAGAATAGCTCGTCGACGTGCACCCAACAAACAACACGTCGTCCACCGCACCAGCCATGCAGAAGGGCATGGCACCTACTCCTGCACGTCGTCATCTTTGTCGCCCACGTCGGCCAAGCGCACCTGGCCGATGGCGACGGAGCACCGGTTGAAGGCCGGATAGTGCAGCGCCTTTGCCAGGAAGTCGGCCGGCTGATCAGTGGTCGGGATGTACCTCAGCGAGAACTTCCCGCGCTTCACCATGTGCTGCAGCCAAGCCTGTCGCCGCTCCATGTGCTTGAGGTTGCCCGTCAACCCCATGCCCACGGCGACTGTGATGGCCGACTTGTTGTCCACCCGAAGGACGGTCGGCTTCCCGGCATCTAGCTGCCGGAACTCTGCAAGGAGGAAGAGAAGTCGACGTCTTTCCTTGCCGGCTTCGGTGGCTGCCACATACTCCGACTCAGTCGACAACAAAGTCGCACACTTGGTGCGCTGGCTCGACCAGGAGACTGCGGCCCCTCCATAGACAAACACGTAGCCACCCGTGCTCGTCCTGTTCTGCTTGTCACCGGCGTCGTCGGCGTCCACGTAGCCGACCAGCTCCAGCAACTCAGGTCCACCGCCGAACTCCAGGGTGGTGTCACGCATGTTGGCGAGGTAGGCGAGGCAGCGGTCGACCTCGCGCGAGTGCTGGTCGCTCCTCACCGTGAGGCCGCTCCCCAGCTTGCTGCAGGAGAAAGCAATGTCCGGCCTCGTCGTTGTCGCCGCAAACTGCAGCGAGCCGACCTTCTGCCGGTACTCCTCCTCCTGCTGCTCCAGTGCCTCCTCGTCATCGAACGTGAGCTCGGCGTAGGCTTTGACCGAGACCGGCGTCTTCGGGGTGCGCCCGGTCTGCTCCTCGTCGATGAAGCGCATACGCAGCTTGTCGGCGTAGCCCTGCTGGTGCAGCCACAGCTTCCCCGCCGACCTGTCGCGGACGATCTCCAGCCCGAGGTACTTCTGCACCGGCGAGATCTCACGCAGCTCGAAGGCGGACTCCAACAGCTCCTTCAGCTCCTTCAGCATCTCGGTGTTGCTGCTGGCGGCAAGCAGGTCATCGACGTAGACCAGCACCCAGCAGGCCACTCCGTCCTCTCCGACCTTGAAGTAGAGAGCCTCGTCGACCTGGCTCTTCTTCCACCCGGCGCCGACCAGCACGTCGTTGAGCGCCAAGTACCACAGCAGCGGCGACTGCTTCAGCCCGTATAGGCTCTTTAACAGCTTGCACACCCGGCCGGTCCCGTCGTTGAAGTAGTCTGGCTGGGACATGTAGAGCACCCTGTCGAGCTTGCTCTGCAAGAAGGCATTCTTCATGTCGAGCTGCATCAGGTTAAGGTTGCGGACGGCGACGATGCTGAGGAAGATCCTCAGTGTGACGTAGCTGCCCACCGGCACAAACGTCTCGTCATAGTAGGCGCCGTGCACCTGCGTGAAGCCCTTCACAACTAGCCTCGCCTTCTCGCGCTCGACGGTGTCGTCGACGTGGTACTTCGTTGTCAACACCCACCGATTCTTCATGACGTTCACTCCCGGCGGGCGTTCGACCAACTCCCAAGTCCCCATGCTGATGAGGCTACGGATCTCCTCCTCCATGGCGGCCTTCACCGCCGGGCCCTTCCAGCTCGCCAACGCCTCCTTCACCGTCATGGTCGAGATGTCCCAGCGGTGCTCGGGGTCGGCATGCATGTCGGGGTCGAGCTCTGGAAACTCCTCATCCTCCTCGGCGTCGTCATACGCCAGGTCGTCGTCGTCCACGTCGTACACCGTGGTGAAGGCAGCGGGGACGAAAAAGTCGGGTGGCCTCCGAAGTCGGCTTGACTTCCGGGGTTCAGGCAGAACCTCCACCACGTCACTCTTGGTGGACTCCTCGGGGTCTCCTCCTTCGTCACCGTCTTCACTGCCCTCATCGTCCTGCTGCTCCTCAGTCGACTTCGTGGTCGATTTCTCCCCTGTGGTCGGCTTCAATCCCACGTTGACCTGCCTGGTTGCCGACTGCACTGCTGACTGCTCTCCTGTCGGCTGGTGCTCCTCGACCTGCTCCTCCCCGGTCGACGTCGGCCTCAATCCCACGTCGGCGTGCCTTTCGTCACGTCGGCCACCGGCGATGCCCTTGGCCGGCGCCGAAGGTGACGTCCCACTACTCCCCTCATCGCCGGAGGCCCACATAGGAGTCAGCACGTGCAAGTCGGCTACGAGGGGAGGGGCAGGGGTCGTAGGGGAGGGAGAAGGAGGACGGACGACCTCGGCGTCCTCAGCAGCAAGCTCACCGACCTCGGTGAGCAGAGGCATCGTCGCCGTCGAGGTGTCGGTCGGCGGGGTAGTAGGCGTCCGACCTGACACCGGCCCGTGCTCTGACTTCCA